AAATAAGTTTAAGAACTTATTTGTAAACAGTAATAATGTATATACATATATTATGTATAATAATTGAAATGTGACTATATTGTACAAGATATTAATAAATATATATTGTTATGAGATTTAAGCTATTTAGTCTAAACATTTGTGTTTTCGTGTTATAATTTGTGTTCATTCTAGAACATAATTCATAGAGCATAATTCATATTTCCTAAATTTTTTCTTAAGAAATGCTTGATAACTATCTGGACATTATAAATATTTTGCATGTGAAATTTGAAAATGTTTTGTTGCATAAAAGTATTTTTAATCTTAAAATTAAAATTACTTTACATGTTGGATAGGCTAATCACTTTATTGGTCACTAAAGATACACCGAGATATTGACTTTCTCGTAGTGTTGTTGTTGCATCCTATTCAGTCTGTAATTTGTTAATCTTTTCCAAAAGTCTCATACTTACTTACCTGTTCCACTGTTTCCAGTGAAACTAAAGAAACTGTGGAAGCAATTAAGTTAAAATCCAAAATTGGTTGGATTAAAACATAACTAAAAGAGAACACCAACTGAAATATTTTAAATATGTCAACTAATCAATGGCTGAATATTAGGTAATCTGGCCAAATGCCTTGGCTGGATCATTAAATCTCTAATCTATAATACGTGTTGTTAGATCCGTTGGAAATTTAAAAATTACATGCCTTGAATAGGTAGCCAATTTTATTTATTGTTTTACATTTTTAAAATGTGGACAAAAGATGTTCTACAAGTAATACTTTTCTTTGCTAAGAGTAATTAAAATCACCTTCATCTGTCAGTGCTTGCCGTAAACCTCTTGTAGTCGGTGTCAGTACTGCATGGAATTCTTGAATACCAGCAACACCCGCTGAATGAAACAAGACGGTGAATGTGGGAGCACACAGGTAGAAATATGGGCACTGTCGAGCTTTTGTAAGTTGAAAAAGTGACTTGAAACTATTGCACCTAGAATGAACAATTAATAATAAAAACATTGTATCCAGGTTACACGTTATAAATAAACACGCATGTTCACTTTATAATTTATTTTATTATCCATTTTCTGTTCTTAAAAATCAATTTTTATCCAAAACCCTATTACATCGAGTAAATAGCTGCAGTTCAGAGTAATAGAAAGTTCTACTAAGTAATTACAATTCTGTAAACACAACTAACATTTATGATCTCTACAGATTCACAGAATGTAAGTTTCGGGTAAACAAATATAAAACTACAGTTTTTACTCAAGATCTTCTGCTTATCTATACTTCTGTATAAAAAACACATTATCTTTAAAACTATATTCAGATGTAAAATGATTAAATAACAATATCAATGCAATTTGGACAAACTTTTCTATAGCTAAATCAATTTATAAATAGATCTTGCACTTAAGGACTTTTGATTTAAAGTTGTTTTAGTGTAGCAGGTTTCCTTTCAATACTATTTTTTTAACTTCTCCTACTAAGCCATGATAGCTATATCTAATTTTTCTATAACTAAACAATACAACTGAGAAAATATTCCCACCGTTCTGGTTTAACTAGCAAATTCCAACATTCATCTGGATGTTTAGTTCATAAATATTTCATCTTACACCTCAAAATAGCTACATTATATTTTGGTTATAACTTACTTCATAATAACATTTAACAAGATAATTAGACAAAAACAATTTTGTAGCAATATCTAATTTCTCAACTTCATGTGTTCTCTCCTGGAAGTTGTAAGTTAGTTGAGTGTTACAGTATTTTCTTTTGATAAAATAATTATTCTAGCAACTAATGTTTAATGTTTATTAAAGAAAAAAACAAACAGCTTTTATCAACAAAATAATGATATTTTTAGTGAATGTATTAAATGTAGGGAAGAATATGTACTGGGCATATGGTACGGGAGTGAATGTATTAAATGTAGGGAAGAATATGTACTGGGCATATGGTACGGGAGTGAATGTATTAAATGTAGGGAAGAATATGTACTGGGCATATGGTACAGGAAGGTACTACATGTTTGCTACTCCTTAGTTAAAATGTAAATTTTTCAAAATGTTTCATTTCTTTTAAGTTCTATTTGAACAAAGAACATCACTCGAGTAAATGATCCAACTCCTCCTTACTCTCCAATTGAGCATGGAGCCAGAATCATTCTCATTAGCCAATAAATATGTTTTTTGGAGGAATATGGCTGTCATACCATTTTTGTAATTACAAGATGAACAGTTGTCTTTTCTGTTTATAAATTGGGTAATGTTTAGGGTTCCTGTAACCCTATGTTCAAGCAAAATAGTCTGGAAGTATGCAAGTAAAGTGGCCTTGTTTATGTATAGTTTATAACTGAGAGTATCACAGAAAATAGTATTATAAGTTTCTCCAAATCATTGCAGCAATACTGTTAAGACATACACTTTAAAATTCTCAACTGTTAAAATGAATAAAGAAAATGTTGATTGATTAGTCCTGCAATAAATAACAGCTCGAGAACATATTTTCACAGTCACATTTCCAACAAAAGCAGTAACAAGTTATTTTGGACTGATTTATTTATAATTAATTAAAATATAATGCAAATACTGCCGATTACTTCATTTACAAAAGTTATTTTACTCGATGATTAAACTAACATAAGCAAGATGTACACAGACTGATGGCTGCAAATCTACTGTTTTATGAAGAAACCTACTTTCCAGTAACTCCCCAAACAGCAAGGAAAACAATATGCACTGACTCTTACTGTTACACACATAATAATTATTTTAAACATGTTTTAACACATATATAATTGATCTTTCTCAATTATTGGTATTCTGTAGAATGTTATATTTTTACAGAATTGAAATGTCCTCCAGTGGTACAGCGGTAAGCCTTCGGATTTACAACACTAAAATCCAGGGTTTGATTCCCCACAGAAGAGAGCCCAATGTGGCTTTGCAATAAGAAAACACACAGAATTGAAACATCATTGTTTAATAAGTATTAGTCCCCTTCAAGAAATAAAATACAATCTAGACCTCTGGGAAGGTTAACCACCTTTTGGTTTTTCAACTACGAAAGTGAAGTTCCCATTCCAAGTTTATTATATAGGCCTACGATCGTTCTTGAGCACATAACATACATAGACCATCCGCAGACTTGAAAATGTATCTACGATATAAATACAGCTCTAAATAACAATTATTTTAACTGTAAAACACACTGTTGTATTATTGTAGAATGGTTTCTTTAGCTTGTGTTCAGACTTTACATATTTGCACTGGCTAAAATAATTACATAAAATTCTGAAACCAATTGTTGGTAATTATGATATAATTTATTTACAGTGATCGCGGTTTGCTCTTTGTTAATAATGGCAAAGTATAGTCAGCTTCTCATAATAGAAAAACTGTTTGCATACACACTCACCAATCCTCGTGTAGCTGTTCCTGAAGATTGGAGTCAATACAAAATGCTCCTTGACTGAAAGATAAAAGTTTTGATTGGTTTTATAAAAATTCTATATAAAACAAAAGAAAAAAGTAACATTCAGTCAATGTTAAACTCTGGAACTTTCAGAAAGTTAACATTTTCCTAAACTCAAAATGTATTTCTGATAGATACTTTTTCTCATAACTATCTTTTCTAGACTTATATTATTACCCTCTATAGGTGCAAGTAACTGAAATAGAACAGTATACAAACTTTTATTTTAAAAGAAAAACAGAACCAAGCAAAAAAACTCACGACACAGAGAGTGAAAATGCAATCATAGTGACAGATTAAATTCTAGTGGCAGGCCAGCGACATTGATTAACAAGTCATTGATCTTAAAGTCTAACAGTGTACAAAAATCT